GACTGTTGATTTTCCAGTGTAACTGTTGATGACACAAATTAGTTAGTGACGTGGATTGTCAAAATTATGATGTGGATTTAATAATTAAAATTTGTATCAATAGTAACAAAATTAAACAAGGGTGTTTATTGTAATTTACTAGGAGTCTAAAAACATTCTAGTAATTTTTAGAAAATATATACTATTCTAGTCATATACATGCTTTTGTGTATCATTCTAGTAATTTTCTCTATAAAAAAAGCCATAGAGAATTAACAATAGAAAAAGTAGAGCGAGCTTCTCTCCTTTGAGCTTTGTATCTTTACATTCGAAGTTTAAACTCAATGCTAACTGAGTCTTCTTTTTGGCCTCAGCAGGATCAGAATGGTTCAGGCTGGTGGTCAAAGAAGAAGAGGGAGAGACTTCAGCAGCAAGGGTTCAGAGCCACCACTTGTGTTGTGGTTTTGAGTTTGCTTGGAGCTCAAAGAGTGAAGCTCTGTGCGTTTTCATCTGGGGATGATGATGATGGAGCTAATGTGCTGAGAAATGAGGACTCGAGACGGTAAGGCGTGAGGGGCATGTCAGTGAATGAAGAAACCATCGGCTGTAGCTTAGGGAAGAAGAAGAAGAGCTCATGTAGTGATCAAATTTGCAGGTATGCCCAAACTTGCCAATCACACATTGTGGAAAATGGCTGCATTGTTACCACAGAACTGTTTCTTTAGACCCAAAAATGAACGGAGGGTGGAAAAACAGAGCTTCATAACGAAATAAAAAAGTTTTAACTTTTTTTGTCAGCATAAATTCTAACTTACCTTCAATTATTTACCAAATGTTACCAAATGTTATAGTTGACTCATGAGAGTTTCGAGACAGTAAGGCTTAAGTTAATATAACAGATGCTTGGGTAATGAGAATCACAGGAAACAGTGGGAGGCCAATGTCAGTTGAGCATGAGTCCATACCGAGAGGATGGACCATTTTTGGCTGTAATCGTAGGGGCTTTGAACATGTAAGCCTGGTAAAAGCTTAGGTCCTGGTATGAAAATAGTTAGACCAGTTGATAGCATGGAATTCCTGCAATGAATTAACGGATTGAGCTTAAAACCGAATGAAAGTAGTTGGACCAGTTGATTGCATGGAGCTTGTACACCATGAAAGAAAGGTGGTGAAGTCAACAGGTGAAACCAATTTACACTAACATATTCTCATATGATAACGACATTCTTTTCCATATGTGAAGTCCATTACTACATGAAAAATTGAGAGAACATACAATACATTACAGCTACGACACATATATGCTAGATCACATAGAGAGAGAGAGCGACTGAATATAGACGTAACGGAAATCCCATGTACTACACAGATAAATAAAATATGATGTTTAGAGTGATACTCTTCACAAGTTTAGAGTGAAGATAGATTTTAGGAAACCAAGTTTTGTAATCCTAGGAAAAAGTATGTTCGCATAGGACCATCATTATACTAAACATTGTAGAAGATTCACATACATTGAATTGTAAATCGTGGCTAAAGGAATTAAAAACAGGCTTAATACATTGAATCTGAAAAGCCCAACAATAAGGGATATGTCCACATGGATTTATCTACAGGAGTGATAACACTCAAATATATAATAGATAATATGGCTTAATAATATTTGATTTCTAATATAACAATCGACTCATAAAAAACTGGATTAGTTAACAAATACATATTTGATTCCTTAATAAATTATACATAATGGTAAGGTAAATCATCGTATAGTTCAAAATACTAAACCGATTGAAATAATTTAACCAATGTATATCCCCTATATATTAAAAGAGAAACATTACAACATTTTTTTGTAGCCACGTGTCATCACCACTATCATTCTTAGAATCCTTAGGAAAATATGTTGGTCCATCTAGATATATAATAAGCTTTTTATTAAACTAATCATAAATAACTTATTAATGTTATTCATGTTTCCTTAAATAAAAATAACGGAATTGCCAAATATGTTTAAAAAATATATGACAATTAATGATTTTCAAGAATAAAGATTTAATAAAAATTATTGTATTTTTTAAATTTTAACTTATTAAAATCAATTAAACAACAACATTAATTATATAATAAAAATTTAGATTATTTCGTTTATGCTATACTTTGAATTTTTTAAAACGACTATAAATGACTAAAGTTGTTAAAAATCTCACATTAAATTTTTTGTGATCCATGGTTAAATTGTTTTTATAACAAAAGAGAAATTATTACAAAATTATATAAGTAAGAAGTCTCATTTAATATATATATATATATATATATATATATATATATATATATATATATATATATATTTTTTTTCAAAATAAATTATGTATTATATAAAAATAGATATGTATTTTGATTTCTAATTTGGTTTGAATTTTTCTTTTATAAATATTTTGAACAAATATTGACTATTTAGTATATAGTTTTAAAATTATAAATTACTAAAAATGTTAAACATCCCACACAAAAAAAATTGTTATCAGTGATTTACAATTTTTGTTATAAAAATATAAAAATGAACAAAAAGTAATATGAGTATAAACTATAATTTAACTGATATCAATATTAAAAATGTATTATATTTCTATGATAATATCATTTAAACTTAATTGTATCATATAAAATAGAAAACAAATCTGTATAAATTAATAAAAAAATATTTATTTGTATACACCAATTTAATTATATACGTAATAGTTACTGAATTTATAATTATCAATATATATTTATTATTTTATAATATGTAAAAAAAATATAATACGTAAAAATAATATATATAAAATACATTTCGTGCAAGGCGCGGATCCTAACCTAGTATCATGATATAATAGTTGTATAAACATCTACTATATTAATTTAGAGTCCTAGTTTTTACCAATTTAAAAATGTTGTCATTTAAATTTGGACCTATTTATAACACATTAGAAATAAGAGATATTACCATTCCTTATATTTAGGATAGACACTATAACTCGTCTTCTACACATAAAGGAGGGTGTATTGAATTGTGGATTTCAAAGGTTTGAGTGGATTTGAGAGAAAATGGAGTTCTAAGAGATTTGGACTAAATCTCAGTTCATATGGGTAGGATTTGGAATAGGAAAAAATGATTTGGGTGGGATTTTTTCTTAAATTTCATAGTACTTTAGATCATTTGATATTGGTATTCTACTTTGTTCAATTATTTAAGAACATGGAGTACTTTAGATCATGTACGTATGTTCCATTTTCAAAAATATCATCCTACTAGAGACTACTAAAAATATCATTCATAAACGTTTAACGATTTTTCAAACTATAGACTAAAGACTTGAGATTTACAAATCCACGGAAAAAACTATACTATAAACATTAACAAAGATTAACAACATCAGAAGAGATGGTCATATCTGTTCTCCTTTCTCTTCTTCAGTTGAATGACTGTTAACACCAGACATAAGTTCTGAAGCATAATGACAGAGTGGAGTTAACAAGAGTTTGCTTTGCTTCCTCTTCTCTTCTTGGTGGTTGAATTTCTTCTCAACATTCTGTTCTGCCTCCATTGGTTAAGTTTTCTTTGTCAGGCTTGAAGCACTTGGCGATGCACAATATGACTTTTCACAACTCTTCCTGCTATACTCGACCATATATTACTGAGAATGCTCTTGGACTGTCCTTTCACGGCAGTGTTTTCCCATAGCCGAGGGAGGCCCATTCTTATCTGGCTGGAATCAAAACACCAACCAATGTGGAGTTTTCTTTGTTAGACTTGAAGCACTTAGCAATGCATAATATGACATTTCAAAGCTCTTCCTGCTATGTTATCCTGAGTTTGTTCTTGTACTGTCCTTTCACCGCAATGTTTTCCCATACTCGAGGATTATTCTTATCAGGATTCAATACATCAACTAGACTCATGCTTATGTTGTTCCTGATTATACAAAGCTTATTGTTGTTCCTGATTATACAAAGCTTATTCCTTAGCGGAACAAGAGCCGCAGCTTCTATAGCCCTCGAGTTTCCCTAATGAATTTTACTGTCTATAAATTTGTTCCATGAATAGATTCATCAAACACCCTGAGTTTACGCCCATCCCTACAATCCAACCCATAGAGCCGACCATCTAGACAAGTACATGGGTTTCTCCAGCCAGTAACCATCCCATCACTGACAGGGCTCCATGAGTTAGTCTCAGGGTCATAAGCTTCACTCGTGACCTGTTGGTGAGACCCTAAACCCTTGAGAAACCACACCGATAAGAGGCAGCATCGCTGTGCCCATATCAGCAACAAAACTCCACCTTTTCTTGCTCGGATCATAAACCTCAACTGAGCCTAGTGTCCTCTGATCCATTAGTCTCATTCTTCCTCATACTTTCTCAAGCTTTGAAACTTATTAAATCAATCTGTTTCGAGAATCATGATATATAAGGAATCTACGAAGGTGGCAGAAGCTTCATCATCACTGCCGTACTTGTGAGAGAAGTAGACGTTGTCGAGAATCAAGTCAACAGAGAAGTGTTGAGAGAGGAAATACTCTGGTGTAGATCATGGTTTTCTCTTTGGCCAATTTTTTTATAATTGATTTTAGGTCTTTCCAAATAACAAGTATACAGCTGTGAGTTTTGTTACGATAGTTTTCACTGAAAATGATTAAAATTTTGCTTCAAATCCTATTCATAGTTTTTTTGTTGAGTAATTTAGCTCAATATACTAGAAGAAGAACGTATTTAGGGATTTACCTTATTTTGGGAGGGGAGGAGAGAGAAGGGGAAAATAGGGTATAGAGTTAAATATGAGGTTTTGTGTATATATGGAATGCAAATACTCTTTTTTTGTTTTCAAAATTGTTTGTCTTTCAATAACAGTGGATTTGTTTAAACTTTTACAAATTGTTAGTTGAATAACAGTGAATTGTAAATGATTTATGGTGACTTTAGACAAATGTCATATTCAATAACAGAAAATTTGGAAAAAAAATTAGAAATCATCAGTTGAATAACATGGGGTTTTAAAACAAAACAAAAACACTTTAAAATCCATAATTCAATACACCCCTCATAGTATATTTCTCCTAGACTCTTGCAAACATTAATACGAGTTTGGATTATTCATAATTTTTTTTTTTTTGATTATTCATAACTTTGTATTTGAATAATCGATAGTCCAACAAATAAAATGCTGTCATTTACTTTGTATTTTAATCTTCGACAGTGGTTTATAATTCTTTCATGGACTAATAAAACAAAATTACACATACATCATCATCATGCATTTTTCAATCATAATATATATGTGGATGATATAATTCATCTGACATTTATCATTGAAGTATATATTCATACAAAATATTGCACATGTAGAAATTAATAGAGTAGATATATTAAAATTTAGAATTAAGAAATTCCACAATAGCAAAAATTTATTATATATTCATGAATAAAGGGAATGGAACAATATTAACTAAAAACAAAAAAAATCTTACAATTATGCTAACAAAAATAGAAATGAATTCAGTTTATCTTCCTAGAGTTTAGAAAACTAAATTAACAATAAAAAAATCTTGGCAAAAAGTTTTAAGAATGATTCTTTTTATTTATTTTTATAATTCAATTAGTTGTCCATTTCGGTATGAATTCTCTAACCCAACTTTTAATTTGCTTATGTTTAATAATAATTATCATTGTTTTGCAAAATAAATACTGATCATTGTTTTCACATAAGTTTATGTATTGAAAAATATATGGGAAATTGCCAGAAATAACACTTTCAGGATACCACTTTTCAACTTTACACTAACCAACTTTACCATTAAAGTTTTAATAGGCAAAATACTTTTATACCCTTAACTAATAAACTTAACAATTTTAATAAGGTTTTGATGGATTAGGGTTTAGAGTTTAGAATTTAGGGTTTAAGATTTCGAATTTAGGGTTTAGGGTATTGAATTTAGGGTTTAGGGTTTAGAATTTAGGGTTTAGGATTTAGAATTTAGGGTTTAAGATTTCGAGTTTAGGGTTTAGGGTTTATAATTTTAGGGTTAGGGTTTAGGGTTTAGAATTTAGGGCATAGAATTTAGGGTTTAGGGTATAGAATTTAAGATTTAGGGTTTAGGGTTCAGAATTAGGGTTTAGAGTTTAAGGTTTAGAATTGATATTTTAGGGGTTAGAGTTGATTTTTAGGGTTTATGGTTTATGGTTTAGAGTTTAGGGTTTAGGGTTTAGAGTTTAGGGTTTAGAGTTTAGAGTTTGGGGTTTAGAGTTTGAATTTCGAAATAGTATAATTCGAAAAAAATAATTTTTTTTTGTTTATTATTTATTTAAATATTTATTTTATACATATAAAGAATAAGAGTATAAGAGTACTTTATCATTTAATGAAAAGTGTATTTTTGAAAATGTCTCCCTTCTTAAGGTAAATGTGAATAGTGTATCAAAGAATGTGTATATATGCAATTCTCCCAAAATATATTAAGTTCAGACCTATCTATCTATATATTTTAAAACTAAAATGTTACAATAATTATTTTCAATATTACAACCAAAATGATTATTCAATTTTACAACCAAAATGTTTCCTAAAACTATGCTAACAAAAAAATAGAAAATATTAGTAAGTTTATCTTCCTAGATTTAAAAAAAAAAACTAACTGAATAATAACAAATAACAATATTTTAGATTTTATTGTCAAAACGTTTTAGGAATGATTTTTTCATCTTTTTAGAATTCAATTAGTAGTCAATTTTTATATGAATCCCCTAACCAAACTATTAATTATGTTTATGTTTAATAATTATCATTGTTTTGAAAAATAAATAATGATCATTTTGACGTAAATTTAAGCATTGAAAAATATATCAAGTTCATATCCATCAATCTATAAATTTTCAGACTAAAATTTTATAATATTTATTTTTGCATGTTGTAATTATTATATTATCAAAATATCAGAATAATATTTATTTAAATTTAGGAAAAATTCCAAAAAAGTACTCTAACTAAATTTTGTTAACCTCTTAAAACCTAATTTTCTATATACAGTTTGAGATTCAAGGACCCACGGTGGATATACTGAAAGCATTTTGCTGGAAAATACGGTGTCCTCCTAAAATGAAACATTTTCTATGGCAATTATTATCGGGTTACACTGATATTCGGAAAAACTTGCAGGCAAGAGGGATAAATGGTGACATATGTTGTGACAGATGTGGAGCGGCAGAAGAAACAATAAACCATGTGTTTTTTGAATGCCCTCCAGCGCGCCAAGTTTGGGCACTGTCAAAGATTCCTTCCAACCCGACCATTTTTCCAACGGCTTCTCTTTTTACGAATATGGATCATTTGTTTTGGCGTGTTACACCAAAGATGGAAGATCATCATTTCGCATGGATATTATGGTATATTTGGAAAGCGCGTAATAGCAGAATCTTTAGCAATTTGGACGTTGAGCCGAAGGACACACTTACATTGACAGAGACAGAATCAACTCTTTGGAAGGAGGCGCAAGCAAAAGCTTCTCCGAATGAAATACAGCAAGGGGTAACCAAGACTTTACCGGTCATACCAGGACGCTGGTGTTTTGTTGATGGTTCATGGAAAGAGAAGGATGTGTTTGATGGTCAAGGTTGGTATAGCACACTTGATGGTTTTGTGGGTTTAATGAGAGCAAGAAACGTTAGAGCCAGTCTATCACCCCTTCACTCTTAAGTGGAAGCATTTATTTGGGCAATGGAGAGTATGAGGAATTTACGTCAATATCATGTTACTTTTGCAACAAATTGTATTCAATTGGTGAAGAAGGTTTCGGAACCAGAAGAATGACCAGCATTTGCAAATTATCTACAAGATATCAAGACGCTTCAAGGGAGTTTCACTAGCTCGGCAGTAATCTATGTACCAAGAACATTGAACTCACGGGCGGATAGTCTAGCACGCAGTGCCAGAATACAATCGTCTTTCGTTGTTCATATGGATACAGAGCTACCAATTTGGTTCGCTGAGTCAATATGAGTCTATAAGTCGATGTCAAAAAAAAAAAATACTATATACAGTTTAATATTTTAATTAATTATTTTATTTATTCATTTCATTTAATCTATTAAAACAAAGTTAGTTATTATTAAATATACACAATATTAATATATTATTTAAATATTTTCAAAATAAGATATCAAAAGATATTACAAAATATCTTTTCTACTATTGCATTTTGAAAATATTTTATAATCTTTTCTATTTAAAATATAGATATTTATTTATTTAATATTTCTTTAAAAATAGAAATTGGTAATTATTTTAAATTTCTAACAAATTAATATTAATCCATTTTGACTTATAAAATACGAAATACCATATCTATAATATTTATATATATATAATTCATATTCATAATTAAATTATTATATTAAATAATATATATAACATAACTTAATTGCAACTATTTCATAAATTATAAATTAAAATAATTACTAATGCATGATAACATATATTTATATAGTTTACAACATACTTCAATTTATCAAGACAAAATATTAAAATAAAATATTTAAAAGAATAAATATTTTTATTTAATATAATATCCAAATTATCACATTAACATATAATTTTACATATTTTAATTTAAAATACAATATTAAATTTAGTGGACATTACAATTATTTGATTATATACTATATTGAATTATATATTATGTTTTATAATTACAGTTTTGTGCAGTTTATTTTAGAAAGATGTAAATATTTACTAAGTATGAAACGGGTTGAACATATATAGTTAACTTATATTATAATAACTATTTATTTAATATTATAATAAAATATAAGAAATAAATTTATATTATAAGTACAGATCATAGATCATGTTAGAATATAATACACCAGTTTTGGTTCTAATTTGTATAATATTCTAAATTTTTTAAAGTAACTAAATATCATTCGGATTCAGATTAAATTAGTTTGGTTCAAATATATCAAAAATTAAATCCCAAATTTAAAAGAAAAAGATAGAAGTAAATATTTATTTACATAGAATTGAGCATTTAAAATATTTAATTACAATTTAAATATTTATTTTAGATACCATTTCAAAATAAATATATAACTAAATACTTGAAATACATATTTATGTTTTAAATATTTATATTTGTGATTATTTAAATCATTTGGATCGGGTTTTGGATTTTCCGAATTTTAGTTTTTTTTTTGGATTATCCGTTCGAATTTAGCTTATGACACTTAGGATTTGTATATGTTTTGTACCACCTTAAGAGCACCTCCAATGGGATATCTACCCATTGGAGTTCTAAATATAACATATAGGAA